AAGTGAGACACGTGATGCTGGGCTGATGTTGTGGCATTCACTGTGACGTTCACTGCACCAACTAGCGGTGGGGTATCTGAAGCTGGCTCGTAACCCGAATTTTAGCTCTCAACTCAAAGCAAAAAATCGGCCGAGAAATGACTCGTATCTTGAAAAACTCATTAGTCGGGACACTCGTAAGTCAAGGCCCCACTGTATTCTGGAGAATAGCCCCAATCTAGGACCAAAGATGGCAGTATTTTGACAGAAACCATTATGCAACTGGGTTCCTAAGTTAAACACCACCAACCAAGGATTTAGCATGCAAACCACATATCTGGGGGCAGGTGGGGGTTCAGAATAGGTGGGCTTGCTTCCCTAGTGGAAGGCCTTATCTGCCTGCCCTGATCTCCACAGCATTCGGAGGTACTGCTCCTCCAACAGGGACCCCAGACCAACCCAGAGGACCTGGAAAACAGCACTGGGACCCTTCCCTTCTGAAGAGGGCAGCCAAATGAAAGGCTTTCAAACCTCTGGGAGCCAACTGGCCTGATGAATATTAAACTTACTGACTTGGATGGGCCCTGGATGGGCACTTAGCCAAAATTAGAATATCTGGGATACTTTGAAGAATGAACAATTGAGTTTCATTCTTCAAAGGCATTCTTTGATTTGTAAAGATGGAGAGTGGAGGAATTTAGGGATTATATGATTTGTCTGTTACTCATTTTCACACCCCTTCATTTTCATTAACTCCACATTCTCCTTAGCCTGAGCACCAGTTCAAGACACTGTTATACTTGCTAATATACACATTTGGATAGTTCCTGGGTCAACTAATGCTCTGAGCTTCATAGCCACTGAAAGGGTAAGTTAAAGTCATACAGAGACCCAGGAAATGAGCTTTCCTTTGGTGCTTTGACCACATGGCTACTCATCTGAAATCTTTTTAGGCACAGCATATTAGCATGCCAGGAATTTTAAATGTGTACATTGATTTCCAACAAGGCTAAAACCCAACAATAATCCAACAGATTGTTTGGAATGAAAGATGTAGTAAAAATAACAACAAAACTACCACTCAACATGATGTAATTACAGATAAAATAAATGCTTTGTGATTCAGACCTCACAAAAATACTCAATGGCTTTCCTCCATGATTTGTAGTTGGCCACTGTGTACTTAAATGCTTCCTGTTGATTAGAATGACTTAAATGCTTTCAAGATTCCAGTAAGCTATAAAGCGCGTCATTTATGGCTTGACTTTGTAGAAAGCCCTGTCTGTGAGCTGATAGTTTCAATAGGCTTTTCCTATAGATAAAAATTACTGGCAATCTATTTCTGCAGCTAAAGATTTCCATTCATCTCTGTTCTGGGAAGTTTTTGGAAACTTAGGGAGAAATAATTCCCTTTGTTTTTACTCTGACAGCAAAGAAGGAGCCTCGGGACATGAACTGGGGTCCAGGATCCAATGTGGTCCTTTTCTAAAGTGCAATAGTGCTGGCTCAGTCACAGGCTGGAGAGGTGAGAGCGGATGGGTGAAGGGGTGGGCTGCCTGCCTTCCTCTGAGCACATGGTGGCCAGGAGCTGCCTAGCCTTGTTGTAGTCTCCTGATTAAAGTGCTGGGTCATGTTCGGCCATTTGAAAAGTACAAACAAGCTTTGTGAGCTAAGGGATTCTTGTTCAGAGTCCAGAGGCTTCTTGAGGATGTCCTATCAAGTCACCCCAGCTCCAGAGATCGCGTGTTCAAATCTGAGGAGAAAAGTCCGTAAACAGGAAAATCACTTTTCTGATTAGAAAATATAGAATTTCTCAAAAAAAAGATTGAAGTGAGAAACTACTGCAGGAAAAAAAAGCTCATCTATCTGGAGGCAGCATGGTTCAAAACCTCTCTTTCTAACCCTCTACCACTGCCCTAGTCCAAGTCTTCAGCCTCTCTCTGCAGACCTATTGCTAGAGCCTTCTTCCCTCCATTCTCTGGGCTGCAGACAGCTCAGTGATACTGCAGCACAGTTCATAGGGCTTCCCTAGTCAGACTCTTGTAGTTCCCCACTGTGCCAGATAGTTCAGTTTGTTCCTAGAGACTCAGTCTCCACCCTGTTCTATCGCGCTCATGCCCTAGGAGGATGACATTGTAGACTATGTCACTGGCTACCATCCCATTCTTCCCCTCAGCATAGGAGAGAAAGATTGCAGTGGGGAGAGAGTGAGGTTAGGGTATGCGTTCCTCAGCAAGCAACCTCCCAGACAGATTGCAGGTGGACTTTATCCCTCTGTCAAAGGCTACAGTGCCTTGTGGGCGTCCCCTCCTCTTGCTGTCCTCTCCAGGTTCTGGTAACTGCACCTTCCCTTTTCTCCTTCAGGCCTAGGGATGCTTAATTGTTCCCTGCTTTTGCTAATTCCAGGGTGCTTGATATCCCTAACCCGGCTCAAATCTTTGTAAATAGTAGAAACTTGTAAAATTGCTTTGTCACCCCTTCTATCATTTCCTTCGGAGACCTGACTGAGGCAACATGCCCAGTGAAAAAATATCTAATCTCCTTTGCCTGGAATTTATGACTCATAATTCCCCCAACATTCTTTCCTCTTATCTCACAACTGGCTCTTTTCAACTAAGATCACATGCCTTTTCCTACAGATGCCCCAGTTCTCCCTGCCTCTCTGCTGTATCTCCTATATCCCCTCTGTTTAGATAAGACACTCATAAAACAAACAAACAAATAAATATAAAACAACATAGAGATTGGGTCAGTTTCCAGGGGGCATGCAAAAAGCTGATCTCTTTTATTTTAATTTAATTTTAACTTGGACCAATAAGAACAGTTTTTTGAGTACCTTATCTCCAATACTCTATTGTAAGAATCTTGGATAACTAATGTTGTACTTAATTCACTCTTACAATTCCCACACAGTGTGTACCTGATGCAGAATCCTGAAAATAGCAGAAACTTAATACGTTTGAGAGTGAATGAATGAGTGAATGAATGACTAGCACTATACTAGGAATAATAAGACATTGTGTTTTTCTGTGATTATTTCATTCAAGAAAGTCACTTAACATCCCTTAGCTTTAACATCTCACTACCTTTAAAATGAGGAAGTCAGGTCTGTAAACTCTAACAAACCACAGCTTGATGACTAGAATAAATCTTTTTAAAAGAAGGCATAATATATACCTTCGGTATAAGTATCAACTACTACAGTTTACTGGTTGACGTTGTGGTTACTTGTATAAGAGCAAGAAGCCATAGGCCCATATAGCACAAGCGAGTAAGGTTAGCTGCAAGAAGAATTTACACAAATGGAAAGGGCTGTGTGCCATAGACAAGGACTGAGGTGGCGTGGATTCTAGCTCCAGTTCTACCACTCAGTTATAAGATGACCTTGTGCAAGTCACCTCATCTTTTACATCCTTCCAGCTTGGCTGGGCTAGTAATCTTTGAAAGGCAACTAAGACATTGGTAGGTATTGTTGAAAGGGCATATGGTGTTTCCCTCCCTAAAGTTGCCAAGGACCCAATGAAGAGTTCTATGCAATGCACTTGACTACTGTCATAAAGAGAGGTGAGTGGGAAGTAGATAAAAGGACTTCAGAAAGTTAGTTCTTCATCTAGCAAGCATCCATATGTAATTAAAAGTGATACATTGGGACAGCTAAAAATGCATTAAACTACAGAGAAAATTCAGGAAACAAAAGAAGAAAACAATACAAGGTTCCATAACATAAAGATAATAATTATGGAAAAAAAAATATATATATATATCCCATAAAGTCCCTACTGGAATTCTTAAACTTTGCCATAAAGGCAGGGGAAGGAGTGTGAATGCTGGGGAGAGCAGGGGGCAATATAGAAGCAATGACCATGGCTCTGTTTCAATAAGATTTTGTTTATAAAGACTATTGGCCCCTGGTCATAGTTTGCTTAAACCCCTTTTAGCTGATACATATAAATGAAGAGTAGAGTGCTAACTCTGGTTGATTCTCATTTAATAGATGCCTAATGAAAATACACTTTCCAACAGTGGTTCTCAACCTTCCTAATGCCGCGACCCTTTAATACAGTTCCTCATGTTGTGGTGACCCCCAACCATAAAATTATTTTCGTTGCTACTTCATAACTGTAATTTTGCTACTGTTATGAATCATAATGTAAATATCTGATATGCAGGATGTATTTTCAGGGGTTGCAACCCACAGAGTTGAGAACCGCTGTAAGATGTAATAGGCTTTCAAGGGAAGAGGAAGATCCTCACATGCTTTCTAGAAATTTGTAAGTTAGTACTTTGGGAACCGCAGATGTTACTCCTGTAAGTTTTTACCCAACATAAATGCTATAATTAATATACTTATTTTCTTTTAATAAATATATGGCGTACAGGACATTAATGTTTATAACCTGGTCCTGAGAACCCAATTTTCCTAAATCTTATGATACTTGTTTCAGGATAAGAAAAAAACAATTTAAAAGTAAATGACAGCTCTGGCCAATGTGGCTCAGTTAGCTGGAGCAGCATCTTGTACACCAAAAGGTAGCGGATTTGACTCCTGATCAGGGCACATACCCAGGTTGCGGGTTTGATTCCTCAGTTGGAGTCCATGCAGGAGGCAACTGATCAATATTTCTCTCTCACATTGATATTTCTCTCTCCCTCCCTCTCCCAAACCTTAGTTAAAATGTTGCTATGAAGGTATCTTGTAGATATGATTAACATATACCATCAGTTGACTTTAAACAAAACAGATTATCTTCCATAATGGAGGTAGGCCTTGTTCAATCTGTTGAAGACCTTAAGAGCAACACTTGAGATTTTCCAGAAAAGAAGGAATTCTGGTTCAAGACTGTAATAGAGAGTTCCCAGACTGCTGTATTTCTCTACAGATTTCAGACTCCTGATTGCACTTTCAACTTTTACCTGAATTGCCAGCCTACTAGCCTGCCCTACAGATTTCATACTTGCCAGTCTACTAGTGGCTCTGTTTCTCTGGAGAAGCCTGGGGTTCATTTTGCCTCATTGTTCATTTGCAATAGGTACCGGGTTTTCTTGGCTGTCTAAGCACTGAGCCCCAGACCTGTCCTCTTTCCATTCCCAAAGTCAATATCTCCATGTCTTGATCCCCTTTGTTCCCAGGGGATATTATCTGAAATGTTAAATTAGTTCTCAATAAAGAGTTAATTGTTGGTGAGCAACTTTATAGAGGAGGAACTTAAAAAGCATCTACTGGGGTGGGTAGGCTCTGTCACCCTTCCTCTCTGAAATCAATAGAAATATATTTTTAAAAAGATTATGTATCTAGCTCACAGGAAAACTTGAATATAAATCTCTTGAATTTTAGTTATATGCTCTTTTGTATAAAAATAAATAATTCAGGCCCTGCCCAACTGCCTCGGTTGGTTGGAGTGTCATCCTGTACACCAAAAGAAAGGTTTCAGGTTTGATCCCCAGTTGGGGAATGTATGGGAGACAAATGATTAATGGTTCTCTCTTTCTCTTCCTCCCCCCCCTTCCTCTAAAATCAATAAAAACATATCTTCGGGTGAGAATTAAAATCACACAATAAAAACATAAATATTTCAGGCATAAAGCAAAAGGGATCATACAATGGAACATCTGTATCTTTGCCACACAGTTTAAGAGGTTAAATGTGGTGTTTATAATTTCCGTGCTGTTTTTGTATTTTTACTGCACATGACTGTTTCCATAAACACTACTTAGTGGTTGTTTGCATGTATTTAAAAATCTCTATGATAGGCCATATGTTGTCTATATCTTCCTGCAATCTGTCTTTCCTCTCAAAATTATATTGTTCAGATTTAACTAACTCAAAAATACATCTAGCTTTGGTGCTTTCATTTTAATCATTGAATAGCATTCTTCATCTATTCTCCTATTGATTCATATTTTATTATTTCCAATTTGTTTCTATTAAATGTACCTGGAATATTTCTATGTGTGATTTCTATGATGTATATTTATGTGGTGCTGGCCTCTTTACATCACACCAAGTAAGGACCAGAGAGGGGTGAGGAAGAGAGGAGGAGCATCACTCCCTTACCTCCCAGACGCTACCTTCTCCCCTTAGAAGGTAGAGGGTGGGGGACTGTAATTGGCTGGTGGGGGTGGTGGAGCAGAATTAGGTGTATTTTTTTATTGACTTTTGATTAAGATAGTTACTTTATTTTGAATTTTAGATACCATTAAAAAAGGGTGTGAGTTTTTGTTGTTGTTGTTTTTTCTGTTTATAAGGAAATGTACTGGTTAAAAATGGTCATGCTATCCTGTTAATCCAAAGGAGTCACTCTATAATAGTGCAACATTCAGAACGGTGACAGGTTATAGGGTGAAAGATTTAGGAATGGCAGCAACCCTTTGAGCATTTCTCAATTCCTCGAATAGATGTTTCTGTCTTCATTACTCAAGTCCTAAGCCCTTTCCTGACTATAAATTCTCTCCAGCTAGGAAAGAGGTTTTGTGAACTGGTCATTGACAGGCTTAATTAGCGCATGGGCACATTTTGTTTGGTTGGTTTGGTATTTGAAATAGTTTTTGAAATAATGAGGGCATTTTATATAAAAATCTGGCTTTCTGTCTTCTCTAGCAATGTTAGGCTAGTGCTACATTGACAGAGAATATGCTCTCTGATTTGACACAGTCCCTACCTCTCCCTATCTACACCAATAAAAGAGAAACATGCAAATTAACCATACCTTCACGATGTCCACAAGCCATGCCCACTAGCCAATCAGGAGTGAG